ACACAATTGCTGGACGTTGAGTTCTTCTCCAGAATGAAAATATTTAGACCTTAAAAGCGTAACCCTTTCTGTCTGCCGCCACCGCACTGCTGCCGCTGCTGCTGCCGCTGCTACTGCCGCTGCTGCTGCCACTGCTGCTGCTGCTAGGCACTAGCTGCGGCTCAGGGCCACGGCCGGGTCGGGCAAAGGCTGGCAGCCGTAGCCGAAATGGCAAGAGGCGGCCGCCTCGCCAGCGTGAGGTGGCCGGGAGGCCGGGCCGGAGTCTGTAGGCCGTTGGAAACTTGTCGAATATTTGACGGAAGTAACGAAAGGGCGTTGATGTTAAATTAAAGGTGGACAAGACATGAATGGGAAGGGAGGCCTCTCGTCTGTTCAAACAGCTTTATGCAGCTTAAGGCAGTCAGAGGCTGCCAAAGGCGGCCATAGCCAGCCGGGCGCGGGCCAGGAAACACTCATGCCATGCTATGGGACCGGGCCTGCCAGTCGCTAACTGCGATGACCTTGAGTCGGCGGCTCACAAGCCCAGGATCACCTGCAAAAATTACGCCATCCTTTTCCTTTTGTTATTTTAAGTATTGGTATTTCTGATAGCGCTTTCGCTAAGAACACACACGGCACTGGGGTACTCGGACGGGATCAAACTCCCCTCTGCGTATCTCCATCAACCTGAGCGCATTTATCACTCGATTGTTTTTTTTTCTTTTGGTCACTTTCCTCTTGTAGTTTGCGTATTCCTATCAAAGGGAGGGGGGGAGGGAGGGAAAGGGTAGAAGGAGGGAGGAGGGGAAAAAGGGGGCGCGTGGGAGTAAAGTAGATGTGGAGTGACGGAGTGACGTGTCGTTAAAGGCACGATGAAACGACGGATATCGATCAGATGTTGTAGTGTGAGTGCGCCGTGCTTGGACGCTTGTGGCAGCCGCGGCGCCGCAGGGGATAGACACGGCCTGACGGGGTGGTCCGAGTAATGGGTGGCTCCAGTTCAGTTAAACAAGCCGTCGCTATAACCCTCGCTATAAACCTTGTTGAACTTGGGCTAAACTTAAAGAATTTATTCGAGTGCACGGAAAAAAAAAATAGTTCTCCCAACTAAAGTTTAAGTTGATTCCCGGATAACGAAGAAATTTTTGCTCCAGCGACCAGTTTTTGATTGTAACAACCAGCATTAAGTCGAGGGAACGACGCCGTTGTTGGGAGAACAAACGCAATCCTTTCCGTGGACAAGGCAAGGTTTCGTTCTCCCAACAACGGCGTCGCTCCCTCGACTTAATGCTGGTTGTTACAATCAAAAACTGGTTGCTGCACTGTAAAAAATAATCACGGTCGCCCATACGGAAATATGCCGTTTACTTAACCTACGGCGTCTCCGTACCTTGGGTTTCGTACCCTCTTCCCATAAGAGCCCATGTAAAAAAAAACGTGGGTACGGAGCCAGGGTACGGAAAAGTACGGAAAAAGTCCTGCTAATTTTGATCCCAAGGTCTTCGTCTTGAGTACGGAGTCTGTTACGGCGTTCCGTACCCCCTTCCTTATGCTAGCCCATGTAAAAATCGTTGGTACGGTGGCCATGTACGGCAAATCTCCGAACCACTTTCGAAAATCACTCCCAAAAGTGAGGTACGGAACGCCGTGACAGGCTCCGTATCCAAGACTGATTTTTTACAGTGTGGAGCAAAAATTTCTTCGTTATCCGGGAATCAACTTAAACTTTAGTTGGGAGAACTAATTTCTTTTTTCCGTGTGTGACGGGCAGACCGCCCTCAACTTGCTGCAAGACGGCGTACTTTCCCCTTCCTCCACCCTTCTGTATTTTCCCGTCACGTCCATTTCCATCTTCGCATACCCCCTCCCTCCCCCTTCCCCACCCTCAAGCTCACCCTGCTCCCTCCACGGGGCACCACCTGGGTTCGGTATGGATGCATAGTCTGTTCGCCGAGGGGGGAAATCACTCCAGATCAAAGTGCACTGTCCGAGTTAGTACTTCAGTACATGTTAGTACGCCCTACTTTTTGCCTAGTTTCTCATCATTTATGCAAAATAATGTTATTTACGGCATTGTTGCGCTTGGTTTCCACCATTAGTACGCGTTGTTACGCTGTCAGTGCGAGTTAGTACGTCTTTAGTACAGGCCTGGGGTGTACGAGTTGGTGTGAGTGTGATTTCCCCCTCGCTGTTGGCTGAGCTTCGCTGGCTGCTCAGCTCGCGCAGTGCATCGCCTCCTGTGGCCTGGCTACGCCACCGGGCCAAAGCCAGTGTGCCTCGCACATCAATCACCGGGGCTCGGCTCGGCTCGGCGGGCCCTGACCTTGGCTAGGCTTGCGGCCGCAAAGGATTTTGGAAGCAGGAGGGGGGGTATTGTACTCATCTGCTGTGGGCCCGTGCTGGCCGTGCGAAGGCAGTGGCGGAGCCAGCGGGGCGCGCAGCCAGGCCTGCTCCTGGCGGTCCATGCTGCTCTAGACGGCGTGAGTCACTCGATTGACTTTCATGAACGCCGCGCTTGTGCCGCGCCCGTCGCGATGCACGACCACTTACGTGCACTGGCCATCCTTGCACTCGGCCGGAGAGCGCGATTTGGCAGGCAGTTTATTGGAAGATTGAGAGAGAGCACCTCACCTAGGAAGAAGGATTCCTTGGGGGCATGTGACATGTAGGTGCAAGTTTAAATGCTTCGGTAAGATGAAATCGAGTGGTTTGGAACTGGACCAAAGAGTGAGTTTGCGACTGTGTCTTAGTAATACTAATTGTGCAATAACAAAGAATGGGCGTGCAAATGCTAGTGCTCAACAATACGTTGCACACTTTAAGTGTTTGACTGGATATTTGGATACTGAAAAGTATTTGATTATAAAGTCGAACACGTGAAAGGGCTCAACTTCACGGGTGGCAAAAGTGGCTTTGGGCAATTTAAAGTTTTAAAATTTATTGTTGAACGTTCAATTGCTTGTGCACTTGTAAGAATTACAATTTCCAGTCCAACACCTAAAAGTGTGCACCGTGGAGTTTAACTCAGCATGTGCATATGGTCAGTCTGCGTGTATTGTATGCACTGCACATGTAAAATGATACAATACGTGCCTTATTCTGGCAGAAGTTTGAAAATTTATGTCTTTTGAGAGTTTTCATCGAAAAAAGAAGCATTTATTATCATTTTCCTGTACCTGATATCGTTCTTAGTCCTATTTAACTTTCAAGTTATATAATATTGCCTTCTGACTAATATTATAGTTTTCAAAGTTGCGTCAGGGTCGGGATGTGTCGCACAATGGTGCAACATAGTGTTGAGCACTAGCATGTGCACGCCAGTTGAACACTTAATTTATCAGTGTATGCAAAATCTAAACATAAGGCGGATCCGAGAATTAATTCCTCTGGATGTATAGTAAACAAATGCGGGGATTCTCAACATTTGCCTGTGTTTTCGGCTGTGATACTTATAATTCGTTGTGTCAGATTTTCTTTAAACACCTGGATACTAGCACCAGTGATGGCCATCTAGTGCCCCAGTAGCCTTACTGTTTTGGACGTATGCTGTCGGCATGAGTTTACGTTTCGTTTCCCTCTATTTTTATCTCGAGCGGAGTGCACCACACCATCCTTTGCAGTCTGCATGATAGCCGTTATCTGGCGTGACGCACGGCGTTCTTTGCGAACGGAGCGGACGATCCCGTGGGGTTTTGTTTGATATTAAATGTACAGTTCGGCCGACACTCTTGGCGGCTGAAACGAATCCGAACCGACGACTGAATAACGAAAGGCCGTACACGACCTATCCGATCCGCCTCGCCGGGGTTCTTGTTTTGTCTCGCGCTCGTGATTTGGTTAGACTTTGGCAGGCTGACGCTGAAGGCGGCTTGGGGGCCTTTGGGCGGGCCTTTAGGTACCTGGCGGTATTGGGCTGGACCCGTACCGTCGCTCGTACTTGGTAGCCCGGGCGGGCTAGGAGCGCGGTCCAGGACCGCCTCAAGGACGTTCCGGGTACGCGCTCCCCCCCCCCCTCCCCTTCCGTCCTCCCACCCACTGAGCTCATAGTTTGGTATAGTGTTTCGGTGGCAGCGGTCTAGGTAGGTCCCGGGGACGGTGACCCTTCCGCCGCCGTGCACGGAATGCTGGCATATGCTTGTGCAAACCACGCTCAAAATTAAAAAGAAACCGAAGGTAATTGCTACACAACATGGTTGTGACAGCCTATATCACAAAATATTTGTCTCCTCTTGTTTGAATTCATGTCGCCAAACTTTTGAAATTTTCTGAGCCTTCTTTAACATTTTGCCGCGTTCATCAACTCACTTTTAGCTTGTGAGCATCTGACCCTTGTACTAAAATGTCGACAGGGCCCGTCCAGTCGCAACAGAATCGCTGGGTACCAGCGACGAAGGGGCCACAGTTTGCGACGCTATTTCTTATTTCTGAGAGCGCAGACGTCTTATTCTGCCCTCCTCTCAAAGGCCCATTACGCGTAATTTTCCTCGTATCGAATTAGTCCTGCCCCGCCGCGCGGCCCGCCCGCCCTTGAGTGAGACGGATTCGCGCGCCTCCCCTTCCCTTACTCCCCCTACCCCTCTCTTCGCTTCTCTCCCCCTCTCTTTCCCTGTCCCACCCCTCCCTTTTGGCTCCGTGCCCCCCCCCCCCCCTTCCTCCCTTTCCCTTCCCTTACCATTCTTTATCCATGACTGATTGGCTACCATGGCAGCTGGAGCGCCTGAGAGGTAGGCCGCTCGGTAGCATCACTGTCGCGGGAAGGAGCTGTTGCCTACCCACCAGGCGCCTCGACCCCGCTGACAGAAAATATTCTGCTCCTCTTGTTTTTTGTCGGCTTTGGGTTTTTTCGCAGCCGTACAGTTACGTTACATAGAAGGCTACACGTTTGCGTTGATGAGTATACGCATTTTGCCTCTTTTATAAATCTTGTAACTTAGTGTCTGTTTGTTTTTTAGGTTTAGCTATTTGCTTGAATGGGTAATACATGGCATACTCATACTCATGTGTTTTTCTCTCTTTTCTAGGGGACAAGTTCCGCTTGGTGCTGGCTACGACCCTCCGTGAGGATGGCTACCCGGACAGTGGAGAATACAACCCTCTGGACTCCATGGAGAGCGGGCGCGCTTCCAGCTTTGAATACGTCATGTTCGGCAAGGTGTACCGCATCGAAGGAGATGACACGTCCAACGAGCCCTCGTCCAGACTGTGAGTACTTCGAAGGTTCACGTTCACACCTTGTAGTCTGTAAAACTTTCATCAAGAGAAATGAGTCGGAGAGGTGGTCCTGTATCACATATCGCCGAATTGCGCAGTGGCGCGCCGAGCGAGTAGGCAGCCTACCCACTCTGATTGTAGCGCAGTATAACCAAATCCTTCGACGCATCGTTAGTCATCATTGTGTGTCCTGTGCAAGCCGTTTCAAAGCTTTATGAGTCGTGCATAGTATTTGGCGACTTGCGCTTGGTTTTTCGGGTAGTTAGCTCTGGCTATTAGCGATGGTCTTACCCCGCGTGGCGAGGCGCTGGCTCACCCCACAGTAGGTGCGTGTTCGCACTGCAGCGCTCGCTCGCTCCCCGCTGCGCGACGCTGCCACTGCGGCCCCTGCTGGCGTTGAGTCATCGGGCGCCCCGACCAGAGCCAGGCGGAGCCAGGCCTGGCGGGGGGCGGCGCCTCCTGCCCTCGCCCCACACCCCAAGCCCCTCACACAGCAGTGCAAGCCGACAGCCAAGAGAGCGCTGACTCCTCCGGGGCTATGAAACGATAGGCCTCGTACGCGTGACCACAGTGCGTCGATAGTAGAGGTGTCAACTTAGGGAGCCGATGATCCTGAAGGATCTTTCAAAACTTTGTGAAATTTGCCGGCCACCCACCGGTTTCGACTCGAGCCCCCCACTGCGTGCCCGTCGAGGGGTCTCCAACTCATCTTAGCTGTGTACGGAGTATTATGGTATTATGGCCGATTATGGCACTTATTTAGGCATATTATGACATATTATGTGATATAATGAAGTATTATAGACTATTATGGGGTATTATGAGGTATTAAGTGGATATTTTGGGGTATTATGTCCAATATTATGGGGTATTATGAGATATTATGAAGGTATTATGTGTCCCGTGTACTGAGTATTATGCGAGTTGGAGACCCCTCGGTGCCCGTGTGATGTTGTGATACCC